GGCTCAATCTGTGGTACCAAAAAGGAAAAAAAAAATGGTAACTGGGGCCGTAACTCAGTGGTACAGTGTCTCTGGGTTCAAATCCCCAGTGTCAAGGCAGGGGTGGGGGGAGATAAGTTTTGAAAAATAACAGCAGGAAAAAAACAACAACCGAGAAAGAAGTGATAATAAACAATAATATGATTCATTAAATAAACTGTACCTCTTCTTTGAAGCAGCATTTATCCTATCCTATTTGCCAATGTGAAAACTGATAGATAGATATCAGGCCGATCATTTAAGTTCTCTTTGTGATAGTGAAAGCCTAGTAACAGCCCCCATGGCCACCCACAAAGTAGATTACGCGACATCTTGCAAGAAAAACTATCCAGACATTGAAAAGAAGACGGGCTGGGGAAGTAGCTCAGCAGTAAACAAGTCCAGGTGCAAGGGCACCACACCTGTAATCCACAGGGGAGGCCAGGGCAGGAAGATCACAAATCTGAGGACTTGGCAACTTAGTAAGAACTTGTCTCAAAATAAAAAATAAAAAGGGTCAGGGATGTAGCTCAGTGGTAGAGCACCCCTGGGTTTAAGCCTAAGTAATGCTCAAAAAGAAAAAGACTTTCTCATAGACTCTGGCTGGAAACATGTCGTACTCACTAGAAAGCCTCACTAAGAATGGGCAAAGAGCTTTTTTTTTCTTATAGCCAAATAATTAGGAAATGCCCCCCTACACACTATTTAGCCCACTGCCAGAATAGATTGTGTTACATACCTACAATGGGATAATACACAATAACAAAAATGAGTGAACAAAAAAGGATTTAAAAAAAAAATTTGTAGTTGTAGATGGACAGCATGCCTTTATTTTATTTATTTATTTATTTTTTGTGGTGCTGGGGTTTGAACCCAGGGCCTCACATGTGCTAGGCAAGCGCTCTGTCACTGAGCCATAACCCCAGCCCTAAAAAAGATATTTCAACCACCCTGGACAAATCTCAGCGGAGCCAGGCACAATGGCGCATGCCTGTAATTCCAGTGGCTCTGGAGGCTGAGGCAGGAGGATCAAGACGAGACTCAGCAATGTATGGAGGCCCTAACCAACTTAGTGAGACCCTGTCTCAAAGTAAAAAAATAAAAAGGACTGGGGATGGGTATTTCAGTGGCTAAGCAACCTTGGGTTCAATTCCAAGTACCAAAAAACAAAAAGGGCTAAGATATAGAGCATATGCCCAGCATTTATGAGACCCTGGGTCCAATTTAGGGCACCAAACAAAAAAAAAGAGAGGGAAAAAAATTTATATTTATGTACATATTTACAACATATGAATGTATATTTGCATGAAATAAATAATATTACGTATAAATATATTTTATTATTTATTATAAATAAGTTATTATACATATATAACATAAAATACATATGTTTATATATAAATGATTTAACTTATATTTATAATTTTATATAATTTATAATATATACTTATATTTGATAATTTAATTCATAATTGAATATACTATATTTATTGTTATATATAAACATAAACATATTTATATATAATACAAACAATGTGATTCCATTTTATGAGATCTCTGAACAGAAAAAATTAAACAATAAAGAAAAAAAGGTTTGTAATAAAACCATAAAGAAAAGCAAGTATATTATTATTATTATTATTTTTTAAAGAGAGAGAGAGAATTTCAATATTAATTTTTCAGTTTTCGGTGGACACAACATCTTTGGTTTTTTTTTTTGTATGTGGTGCTAAGGACCGAACCCGGAACGCACGCATGCCAGACGAGCGCGCTACCACTTGAGCCACATTCCCAGCCCAAGCAAGTATATTATAAAGACAAATTTCAGGACAGTGGTTACCTTTTTTTTTTTTTTTTTTCCTTTTTTTGGTACCAGGGATTGAACCCAGGGGCACTTTACCACTGAGCCACATCCCCAGCCCTTTTTTATATTTTAATTAGAGACAGGATCTCACTGAGTTGCTTAGGGCCTTACTAAGTCGCTCAGGCTGGCTTTGAACGTGGTGATCCTCCTGCCTCAGCCTCCAGAGCTCCCTGGATTACCCGTGCACCCTGCCATGCCTGGCTTAGTGGTCACCCCCTTGAGTGCAGAGATGGCAAGGCAATTCAAGGGAGACAAGGAAAAGGGCCCAAAGACACTAATATTTTATTTTTTAAGGTGGGTGGGGAATAGCTAGGCATTACGTTACAATTTTAAGGTAATGCTTTGGTTTATAAGATTGCTTAAGAGTGAAAACAAAAAACAAATAATGAAGCAGTTCTTTATATACAAATACAAAATGATCCTCCAAAAAAAGTCAAAGACCAGAAACATTTGTATGAAATATGGAAAAGGGTATCATACAGTCAATGTCACACATAATCACTCTTTGGTCTACAAAGAACCAATAGGCACTGCACATACTTTAGGTGTGTAGGTGGCCATGCCATTCAGGTTTGTGTTAGAATATTCCATGACGTTCACGTGACAAAATTGCCCAACCATGCAATTCTCGGAACATTTCCCAAAGTTTCTCGTGATGGGGGATGTGTTCAAGAATCTGCTCTGTGCGTCTAGGATATTTCTGGAAGGACACTCAGGGATTGGTAGCAATGGCTGCCTCTGGGAGAGAAATGAGGACAGGCAAGGAGGCTGATCATTCCAAGTTTGATGTTTGATTGCTGTTTGATGTTTGCATCACATACATGTATTGCCAAATTAACTTTTGTTGTTGTTGCCTAATTAACTTTTTTTGTGGTACTGAGACTTGAACCCAGGGCTCAGCACATCTGAGGCAAACGCTCTACGACTGAGTTATAGCCCTAGCAGTACTTCATCATGGTGTCTCACACTGGTGACAATAGCCAAAGTAACCCGGGGGCTTGGGCACCAGCCACTTTGAGCCCCACAGGTGAGCCCCACAAGAGCGGTTTGGAGTCATGGCCCTGCCCATTGGCACCTCAGGGTCTTTACACTGGCTGTCCCTGGGCTTGGAACGCTCTTTTCCCAGTATCCACAATGTCACCTTCCCAAAGAAGCCTCCCCTAGGGACCCCTCTGAGCAGCGCACACTGCCCTCATTTTTCTTCCCAGCAGTTACCGCCATCTCACAAGTTTTCCCCATTTATTGTCCATCGAAAGTCATCCCCGAAGTGTTGATTTTAGCTCTGTCATTGACATTGACGGTTTTAACCCACCTGCCCCAGATGGTGTGGGCTCAATTAACAACTGTTAAATGCTTGAATGCCTGCAGGGAGGGTCATTGAGGAATGCAGCCTCACTTAAGCAGGGGAGGCCCCAGGAATTATGCAAACATCAGTGTACTTACCATGAAGATGGCTGGCATTGTTAGGCTAGACCTTCTTATGGGACCTCTGTGGGGTATGCATGCCATTAACCAAAATGCAATGTACAAAATGTAAAGCATCCAAAATGTAATGTACACCTAAATCCCAGCGACTCAGAGGATCACAAGTTTGAGGCCATTATCAGCAACTTAGCAAGACCCTGACTCAAAATAAAATAAAGGGCTGGGCTACAGCTTGGTGCTGGGGGCTTGCCTCGGCCCTGGGTGAAAGGAAAGTGAGGAACCAGGAGATAGGTGAGCGAGAAATAGATACACAGGAGAGGTAACTTGTCAGAGCTGAAGGCCATCTCTCCATAGATGGAGAGAGACAACAGGCTTGGGATTTGGGACTTTTATGGGGCAGGTTCAGGGATTAGAGCCAGGCGGGTCCTACTGTGGGTGGTTAGGGGTTCGGTTGGTGTGAGGGGGTGGTGAGCCTTTCTCAATTAAGATGGCCGTCCAGATGCTAAGCAAGGACTTTACATTCCCCCTTTATTTTTATTTTTGGGCCCCCTAAGGGACAGGGACATAGATCAATCTTCTGTAGCCTCTTCCTGCTGGGAAGGGGCGGCATCTGGACCCTTGTTAGGGGCGCTGGGTGTCACTGAGGCAATGGTGACAGTCAGGAGGAGCCAGGCGATGCTGACCTGTGACAGAAGCTGGCTCATGGTTTGGGGAGAGATCCTTTGAATCTGGCTTGAATAAATCTAAAGACGCAGGCAGTGAGCATCAGCCAAAGGCCTATAACAAGGAGAGAGGTCAAGAGGGAAGTGCCCACTGGAGAAGGAGGTCGCTTAGCCGCCATCTTCAGTTCCAATGGCAGTGAGAAGCTTGGAGGCCTGAAGTAGACGTTTAGAGTCTGCGTAGACGTTGAGGGAGACTCCCTTTGCCAAGGTGACAAATAAAGGCACATCTCTCCATAGATGGAGAGAGGCAAAACAGGCTTGGGGTTTGGGACTTTGATGGGGCAGGTTCAGGGATTAGAGCCAGGCGGGTCCTAATGTGAGTGGTTAAGGGTGGGGTTGGTGATGCTCCCTTGGGCGGGAAAGAATGCAGGCAGTGAAGGGTTGGGTTGGTATGACAGGGTGGTGAGCCTTTCTCACTTAAGATCGCTGTCCAGATGCTAAGTAAGGACCTTACACTGGGTTCCATCCAAACTACAAAAAAAAAAAAAAAAAGAAAAAAGAAAAGAATAAAGTAATGGGTTATGTAACTTACTTTTGGCCCCCAAAGTCTGGAAAGGTTCCTATGTCCTATGGCAGAAGAATAAAAAGGTAGTTAAGTGGGGAGCCATGATTAAAACTATGGAGAGCTGGCAAGGTCGCACATCCCTGGCATCTTAGCAACTCAGGCTGAGGCAGGATGGCAAGTTCAAGGCCAGCCTCAGCAATTAGTAAGGCCTAAGCAAGACACCCTCTCCAAAAAAAAGGTGTGTGTATGGGGGGGGGTGCTGGGGATGTGGCTCAGGCACAGTGGTTAAGTGTCCCTGGGTTCAATACCTGGTACCCAAACACACACAAAAACCGTGTGAAGATTAACTAGGCTGGCACGGTCAAGACCTGACATCCCAGACGAGGCAGGTCAGATAACAAGGAGCAAAGTGGGGAAAGAACATCCAGGTGAGCGGATCAGCTAAGGCAAAGGCCCCAGGCAAGAGTGAACTTTGGCTATTTAATAAATAAAAGGAAAGGCAGTGTTTGTGCCAGGCGGAAAACTAGTAGAAAGGGGGTAGGTGTGGGTTTCCAAGAACCTGTGCAGCTCAGATTTCGCTTGGCCGCTTGGCGCAGAGTTAAGGGGAGTGACTTGCTCTTTGACAGGCGGCCCTGCTGTGGAATTTCCAGCTGTTCTGCGCACTCTGTGGGCTTGTTTTAGGTCATCTGTGAAATGGGGGTAAGCCTCTTAGGTCCCCTTTGTTCCATGCACCCAAGCAGTCCTCACGATCACCCTGGGGAAGGTGCTAGGACTGAGCCCCTAATGGATGGGGAAACAGAGGCTCCGGATGGCTAACTCAGTTTCCCAAAGCAGCAGCCTCCTATCAGAACACGGTACCGTGACCGCGGAGCCTTCCTCACCTCCACCTCTACTGCTGCCCCCAGAACCACACAGGCACTGCAGGGCCGGGCTGTGCCTCTGCCTTGACGTCAGACAAACCTGCCCGGCCACTGACACGCCCAGGCGCCTTGGGTCAGTCACTTGCACCCGAGTCCGTTTGGCCATCTGTACCACGCAACCCAACAAACCAACCCGGCACTTGGCTGACCAAGAGGAAGGACGACCCTCTGCCTGCGGGGGTGGGGGTCTGGGGAAGAGGCGCGGAGTTCGAGTGCGGCGTCCGGTGCTCTTCCTACTCCTTTCTGGCCTCGTGGCCTCCTCGGTCTTCCCCGCACACATTTTTTCTTTCCACGCTGAAAAGAGGTCGTGGTCCCTTTAAGGCCCGCCCCTCCCTCCCCCAAAACTTCCCAGTGTCTGCTCTTTTCGATCCCGGACGGCCGGCCAGGCTCGCCGCCGAGCTGGTAGGGGACTGGGGCGCGGGGTCAGGGAGGGGCGCGGGGGCACTGGCCAGAGGCGCTACCCGCGGCGGTCCGCGCGGAGGGCTGGGGGTGGGGCGGCGGCCGCGAGCGTGGGGTGCAGACGGCGCGGCCGCCGGGTCGCCGCCGTGGGCGCGCGCTGAGGGGAGAGCGGCCTGCGGCGCGCGGCGCCCGGACCGGTTCCGCAGCGTTCAGTCGGCGCACGCCGGCGCGAGGGGCGTCCGGGCCGGGCGCGGGGGCGGGGAGGGGAGGGGCCCGGGGTCCTCCCCTCCCCCACCGCATTCCTCTGACGTCTGGGCCCGCGACCCCGCCCTCCGCTCACGTCACGTGACCCAGAGCCCGTGGCGCCCTCTGTCCCAGTCCTGCCGGGTTTTGTGATCTTCCGGGTGCGACTTGGCAGTTGATTTTAGGGTCTCCTCAGATACTTTCCCAAAAAACTTTAGTCCCCCAAACTGGCACTATTCCATTCTTTCTGTGCCCTTGACCCCATTTCAAACTTAGTTTCCGCAGGGCGCAGACTGTGGGAACCCCTTCACCCGGGCGGAAAGGTTCCGGAGCACATTTGGGCCCGTCCTCCGCCTTTCCCACGACCCCTAGACTCACTTGCCTGCTTCTCATTATTTCTTTTTATTTAATTTTTGGTGATGGGGATGGAACCCCGGGCCTCGAGCAGGCAAAGCGAGCGTCCTACCCTGAGCCACGCCCCTAGCTCGTCAGTGCCCCCCGCGGGGGTGGGGTCAGCCCCGTCACTGCACGGCCCTCCTCGTGGGAGGTGGGCCCGGCCCCTCCACTACTGTAACTCCGGCGACCCGCCCCCGAGCTCGGGTCTTTGGGCTTCGCTGGAGCCTCTGAGGGTACCATCCCGGGAGTCCACTTCAGGGCTGTCCTGTGAAAGCCAGTGGCTTGAGTTATCAGAAGGCAAATCCTGGGGGTCCGGGTGGGTAGGGAGCTGAACTCTGACTGCACCGACAGGGAGTTGACCCTTAGCTTCTATTGGAGGGAGAGCGGGAAAAGTATTCTGCGGAGAGGGGCGCACAAGGGCAAAGATGGAGAGGTGTGGGAAAGCTCCTTCCCCTTCTGCGAACTGAAAGGAGTTACTGTGGCCAAATTTAGAGGTGGAGAAATGACTGCCGAACTGACAGGGTGAGAACAGAGTTAAAAAGGGGAAAAAAAAAAAAAACCGGCCGTGAGTAGGTTGGCTGTGAAGAGGTACAAGGTACAGTGATGGGAATGTAGATAGCAGGGAATTGCCCTCTCTGTGGCTCTAGACTTCCGGAGCGGCAAACATCAGACAATCAAAAAATACCCTAGATACTCCCGCGATTGCTTCCTTGAAGAGTCGCCCCGCCTCTGGAGGCCCCGAAAAGCACATAGGCGCATGCGTCCTTGCTCAGATCCGTTCCTAGACTGCGCCAAAGAGCGCCTATGGCTCCCCTTTTTCACCCAATCAGAGACCATCAGTAGTCCTACCATCTAGCGAGAGCGTACTCTTTCCACTCTCCATTGACCAATTGGGTGGTGACAGAAAAGATAGGCATCTGTAGTAACCACTGCAAAGAGACAAAAATGAACGCCTTCCTTGCCTCCTTGCAGAGTGGCTCTGGAAGGTAGTCGTGACTGGGGAGACTGAAGATTTTCAGTTTGACGGACTAGCGACAAAACCAACGAAAGTGGGAAGGAGGCGGGACTTCTCCCGAAAGTTGGAGAGTCGCTCCTATTAGGCGCTCTTGGTGAGGCCGGGCAATGCCAGAAATCTGACCTATCAAGTTGGGGTTTATTTTAAGGCGGCGGGATTGGAGAAATGACTGGCAGAAAGCCCTGGCCTATAAGGAGTGTTTCAGACAAACGAGGGTGGGCCCTTCTGCAGAACGGCGTGAGCCGGGTCCAATAGTCGTGTAAGGCGTGCAGAAGCTTCCCCTCCCCCCGCGGCGGGGCCAGTGGCTCCCCCTATCGGGTGGGGGCGGCGGGTGACGGGCGGGTCCCTCCCCCAATGAGAGGCGGGGGGAGGCGGGTTCTGCGCCGCCATGTCGCGGAGGCTGCTGCCCCGGGCGGAGAAGCGGCGTCGGCGGCTGGAGCAGAGGCAGCAGCCGGACGAGCAGCTGAGGCGGTCGGGAGCGATGGTGAAGATGGCGGCGGCGGGCGGCGGAGGCGGCGGTGGCCGCTACTACGGCGGCGGCAGTGAGGGCGGCCGGGCTCCTAAACGGCTGAAGACTGACAACGCCGGCGACCAGCACGGAGGCGGTGGCGGCGGCGGTGGAGGAGCCGGGGCAGCGGGAGGCGGCGGCGGGGTGAGGCTAGGGCTTTAGACTCTGGGAAGGGTGGGAAATTTTCGTACTTTCAGGGTATTTATTTTGGGGGGCCCCTCTGCGCAGGCGCCTAAGCCCTCGCGCCGCTGACGGGAGTGGGGGAGGGGCAGGCGTTGGGCAAACGGCGGGGATTGCGCGAGGACAGGCACTTGCGCGTGCGCGCAATCCTGAGCGGGGGTTGAGGGGGTGGAGGAAGCTGCTCGCGTTGCGGGCAACGTATTGCGCAGGCGCCGCGGGCTAGCGTGTGGGGGTCGGGCACGCGGCCGGGCCGTTTTTCCCCCCCTTTATCATTTTCTTCTGTGGCCCGGTGCGCAGGCGCGCTTCTCTCGCCTGGCCTCGTGGGCGGTTGGGGGGGGCATCTTGTGAGCGGGAACGGGTGGGCGGCGGCCCGGCGGAGTGGGGAATTCAGGCCGATCGCTGTCTGATCCCAGTAGCGTCACGCCTTGACTCCCGGCCTCCAGTTATTGATTTATTGAAAAATATACCCCAGCGCAGAATATTTTCCCTATTTTTGTGGGCGTTGGAAATAGGAAGATTTGCGAGAGGCAGATTTAGTTGTCTGGGAGTTGAGCCAGACTTTGGAACCTTGACACGTTTGCTTACGATTTCAATTTCTTGGAGATTGATAAACCCAAATATTCCCCGGTCGTCTGGCCACGGGAGGAGGGATTCAGCCTCTTAAATCTGCCACCCCCGAAAAAACACCAGTTGTCCCTTGTGGGTCGGGGCCAGCCCCATCCGCGGAAGTTATTAAAGGGCTTCTGCTCGGTCTTCCCGGGCTCTGTTTGACCTGCTCAGAAGTCATTCTATTAAGGAATCTCTGTTCTGTGGGTTTGGGGCAGGTATATGAATTCCCAGTTTCCAGAGAGGAAACAAGCAAAAGATAAGGGAGATTCCATCACATAGCTAGTGAGGGGCAATTCTGGAATTAGAACTCAGGACCCATAACCACCGGGAAGGGTGTGTCTCCTGTGGTTTGTGCAGTCGGTTCCTGAAATAGAATCCAGTTCTGTCCCTGTTCCATGGTCTTGTGCCCAGTGATTTCTCAGACAGGAGGCTGGGCCCAGAGCCCAGGAGAGATGGAGGAGAAAGTTACTTTGCTCCTGAGTCCCAGAGGCTGCTATCTCTGTGACTGGAAAGACACTTCTCCTGAGAAGGAACTTAGTGGTGTGGGTTGAAGTTGCTCTTCTTTGAGTTTCCTCACCCCTTTTTCCTTAGTCCAGGTTAGGCAGTATTTCTCAAAGCAGATTTTGGTGGGAGCAATAAAAGGCATGAAGGAGTCAAAATTGTCTGGTCTTCCACAAGTTTAAGGGCATATACTATTTTGCCCTGGCTGGACTTGGGGATGACTGGTGGAGAACAGTCGTGCCTGGTTTGCTCAACCAGAAAATACAAAGAAGGTGGGGCACATGCAGAAAACAGTCTGTTCACACCACAGCAGATAGCTGTTTAAGCCTCACCTGCTAGGTTGCTTTCTAAGCCACTGTTCTGTGCTTCCTTGATTGAGCAGGAGGAGAGATGGTCCTTGGAGGGATGTAAAAGTTGAGATTTTTCCCTTCCACCTTTTTCCCTTTCTCAGAAGCTAGAGCCAATGGGCAAGTGGCTACCACTCAGGGCTGTTATTCTGCTGGTCCAGAATCCTTTTGGGGTGATTGGGTTGAATTGCTCCCTCTCTTCTGCCCCATGCATCTTTCCTGGGTGACACGTAACTTATTTGACTGGATCTCCAACAACACAGAGGGCTATGATCTTGTATGTCACAAAATGAGGTGTTGTTTCTGTTTCCTTTTTCAGGAGAACTACGATGACCCCCACAAAACCCCTGCCTCCCCAGTTGTCCACATCAGGGGCCTGATTGACGGTGTGGTGGAAGCTGACCTTGTGGAGGCATTGCAGGAGTTTGGACCCATCAGGTACCGGGCCCAAAGACCAAGAGCTGGGTCTGAAAAGAAGTCAATTCCCTAGTGTGCTTGTTTTTTTTTTTGTTTGTTTGTTTTTTTTGTGTGTGTGTGTGCGCGCGCGCGCGTGCTGAGGATAGAACTTGGGGCCACTTGACCACTGAGCCACATCCCCAGCCCTATTTTGGATTTTACTTAGAGACAGGGTCTCACTGAGGTGCTTAGTCCCTTCCTGTTCCTAAAGTTGGCTTTGAACCCGTGATCCTCCTGCCTCGGCCTCCTGAGCTGCTAGGATTACAGTGTACCACTGTGCCCAGGTCCTAGTGTGCTTTTGTGACACTGGTTTCTGGTTGGAAGTAGTGATTTTGCCTTTCTGGTCTGAGGTCCTTTGACTAGGTTTACACCATCTCTACTCCTGGGGTTGAACTTTGGATCCTCTTGTAGCAAGTTCCACATCCTTTCTTCTCTTTTTCTCTGCCTCATACTTTCTGGTCAACATTGCTTTACTCAGCAGCAAATTTTTGTTGACTATTTGGCACATGTGAGGTGGTGGGAATACAAAAGGGAACAAAATTATCCTAGA